TCGTCGTCGTCGTCGTCGTCGTCGTCGTCGTCGTCGTCCTCGTTTCCCAACCTCGTCGTCGTCGATCAATTTCCATCGAATCATCGAGTTCCATCAAACCATCTCGATTTCCCGCTAACCAGCATCGTGGCCACGACAAGCATCTTGCCCGTCCTCGACACGTCCTCCGACACGAACGAGCAAACCAGCTACACGCTCGACTCTGCCGAGCGTCGTTCCGCCTACCATCGGCCACGCTTCCTCCCCGACGCTTGGTTCTCTCTCGTTCGTCGACGGTGTTCCAACATTTGCGGTGAGTTGCATCCTTCCGAGCGAGAGAAGTCGCCCCGGCACAATCGGCATCTGCCGAATCGACCGCTAGAATCGACCCGCCACTCTTTCTCTTTGCTTCTCGTCGCGACAGATTGGCTGCCGAGGATGTGCTCCTGCCTGGACGCCGATTACAGCGCCTTGCAGCTCCTCGGTAGTTCCCCGTCCGCGCGCAACTATCAACGACTCAGTTCTCCCAAGGGTTCTCCAGGCAACAGTGTGTTGGCCAACCAGTGTGCCGACGGTAGCCTGAAGAAATTCCCCCTATCGTGGCGAGTCGACCGACCACCCAGCGACCACCAACAGGTAACTTGCGACCGATTTTCCATCTCTCTCTCTCTCTCTCTCTCTCTCCATCTTTTCATTTGAGAAACCGCGCACAGACGGAGAAACTGCGTTTCTACTGCGACGACGACGACAACGACGACGATGACGACGACAACGACGATGGCGGCGGCGACGACCGACGAGCGTCGTACGATCTGACGGTGGAGAACAATCTCCGCGCGATCGATCTCTGCGAGCTTCTCAAAGCGAAGAGGCGCGCGTTCGGCGCCGGCTGGTCGATCGTCGAGACGTGGCCAGAGTTGGGGATAGGTCGGTATATTCGACAGAAATCGATCCTCAAAAATTCCGAAATTCCTAACCGAACCGTCGTCGTTGCAGAGCGCGCGCTCGAGGACCACGAGGACGTGCTGGCGGTGCACAGGGAGACCAGGGCGTTCACCTCGAGCCGCGCGCCAAGGTTTGTCTTTCGCCGAGACTACGACCTCAAGTACGAGTTCTTCAACGACACGACGGAGGTGAGTGAAATCGTGGAAATCGATCCGAATTTATTACAAACTAAAAGACTCTCTCTTCTAGAGAGAGAGAGAGAGAGA